TTTTCAATTTCTTGATTTGGTTTATTTTCTATATTATTTAATTTTTTATTTATATTTTCTATTGCTTCTGTAGTCTTAAGATCTGGAAATTTTTCTTTATCTTCTACTCTAGAAATTTTATTTAAGATTGTCAAGTTTTGTTCTTTAATAAAATCTAAGTTTTCACCAATTTTATTAATATCTTTCTCAATATTAAAGATTCTTTTTCCTAAAGTACTTACTTCTCCAGTTAATTTATTATTTTCTTTTATTAAGATATCCAGTTTTAAAAATCTAATCTGAATAATAAAAAGAATCTAATGAAAAATTTGTATGATCTGATAAATAATTATTATCAATATTGTCTAATTCAATCCTTAATTTTAGATCTGATATAAATATCTGATCAAAACTATTTATAAAATATTCTCTAAATTCTGAAATTAAAGATCTATATAAAATCTGTTCTTTTAATTCTGGGTGTAAATTTTTAGTTACTTGTAATATAGCAAATAAATAGTCTATAGATTTATCTTTTTCAAAAGAAATTAATTCTACACCGTATTCAAAAGTCTCTTCTATTTCTTTATAAAATGTAAAACTATAGAATATTTTTTCTAGATCTACAAGTAAAATTCTAAAAATCATAAAACAAGTAAGTATTTTCTAAAGATTCAAAGAATTATACCTTCTAAAATTTGAAGAAATATACTGAAATCACCAGCACCGGAACAAAAGCTCTGATACCAAAAGAGGGGGTCCCTGAAAAAGGTTAGAATTTCAAGGATTTGGAGGCTGTTGTAGGTGGTTGTTAAAACAAATTATGAAAATCCTACTCAGTACTTTTTTTAATTGAGATATCTTTTTCTTTTGATAAAATAATATCCTTTTTTTTTTTTTTTAAAACATGTCATCTGAGATATATGAACTTGGGCCTAAATCCATTCTTGTAAGGACACCACTGGCACTCCCTTAACAAGAATTCTTAAAACAGTGATCTCTTTCCCTCTTCTATGCGTCTGCTAGCCTCTTCACTGGGCCTTTACGCTTTGAGAGGTCATTCAGGGCTTATTTTAAAAACAGTTTAAACTTTTAACTTGGAGTTAAGACATACTCTTATCATATACCCAGCATGAAGCATAAAATTCTTTACAAAAATCATAAAACTTTTACAAATTAAAAATTTTATGGACAGAAATTGTTCTTACAAGATCTGGAACTAATATTAACTATTAGCACCATATCTTAGAACTATAAAGCATACCTACCGGAATGATCCATCGGTAGTTTTTAAAACAACATATTTTTGTGAGATATTATTCTATCTAAGAATAAGAACAATTAAGAATTTCCCTTTCGGGAGAGAAAGAAGATTAGAACATATTTGAGAGAATTCAAAACTTGTATTGTATATATTTTCTTATGTGTTTACAAATGAAAGAATGGTCTCCTTATATATGGGAGAAAAGAGAGAGGAAGCGTTTTTCAAAAGCAAGGAATCTTTGCTTTTTTCAAAACATCAAAAAGAAAACAGTAAAAAGCTATGCTATCAAATCTTACTTTATCAAACAGTAAGATTTTTTACAAATTTTTCAAAAAGAAAACAGTAAAGATTCTACTTTTCGTACAATAATTCTTGATTTTTTCTTGAAATCTTGGACAGAAGTCTTCAAATTCTTGTTTATCACCATAACTTTTTGTCAAATGTCTGAATGAATCCTTATCTTGTTTCATAATTGTGTCTGCCAATGCTGTCTAAAGAGTCTCCTCCGTCAGTACATCCTTCTGGATTATCATCTTCTTCTGAATTATTGTCTTCAAAATTATCCAAATCTTTTTCTTGTCCAATTTTCTTTTTGCCTTTATTTTTCTTTTTAATCTGTATTTTCTTTTTCTTTT